GGCCCCCCCCCCCCCCCCCCCCCACACACCCACACACGTACACGCATTCATCTACACGTGTGCATGTGCCTCCCTCCCGTCCATGGTGAGTGTGTTGATGTGATGTGTAGGTATGGAGGCGTGCCGGTGATAGGCTCGATGGGCCCGACCGAGGCCGCCATTTACCTCACGAAACAAGTGGGGGTCGCATGTGTCCCAGGCGAGTATTACTGGATGGATTGGTGCACATGGACGGGGGATGCATGGGATGTGTGTGTACCGTACGCATTGCATTGGCCGACTGTCGTGTGTCTGTCTGCCCGCCTGTGTGTGCATGGTCATCTATCTGTCGTATGGTGTAGGTGACAACTTCTATGGCGTCCCGGTGGAGGGAGGGGCAGAGAATCAATACCTCAGGTAAGTCTGTCTACACACACACACACGTTTCCATGTGTTTGGATCTGTGTGTCTGTTGGTAGGTTTGCCTTTTGCCGTTCGCTGAGTCACCTGAAGGAGGCCGTGCACCGCCTGCACACGTGGCACGACACCGTCAAGACACAATAAAGGGAGGAGGGAGTGGTGGTGTGTGCATGGCATGGATCCTTGCGCGCGAGTCTGTCGTTCCGTCTACTGCACACAGACAGACAGACAGACAGGGACGGACGCTTTTGATATTGCGTCGGTCGGTCGGTTCTGCTATTTTGTCGGGCTGTGCTGTTTTTGCCGCCCCCGCGCTCTGTGCCATAGACATACAGACGCCGTTGAGTGGATCCATTAATGTGTGCATCAATCAACGCCGTTGTCTGCCGACGACCACCAACAGCGGGACCTGATCTTTGATACTGACAAATTGTCATTGATCTGTGTGTGTGTGGTCTGTCCGTCTGTCTGTCAGACGTCTTGCTCCACGCACAGACAGAAAAACTCCTGCCCACGCCTCTCTTCCATCCCATCACACCACAGACAGACAAAAACCAGTGTGGGAGTGCACCAAAGCAGATTAACGATCGACGGCCTACCTACCGACCTACTCACTTTTCGTCACAAATCATAGATCATGACACTGTACGACAAAACACCCAGCCAGCCAGCCAGCCACCCACCCACAGGCGTCTTGAAACCACCTGACTGACCTGCTACCGCCTGCCCCTGGCCTTGCGTCTGGTCCACCACCAGGGGCGCTTTCTCTCAGGTTGCCCATGGTGGCCGCACTGCGGCCCTCCACAACAGCCATCGGTCGGCTCTCCTGCCGGCTCGGCGCCACCTTCTGCTGTGATGGTTGGGTGGTGGGTGTTGCCGTCGTTGCCACTGTGTTGGTCGGAGGGGTGTATGACGAGGTAGTCGAGGTACGGGGTGGGGATGGCCGCCTTTATGACCATCTGGACATTGGATGGGACGCCGCCGTGCCTGTCGTAGTAGATGGTGCGGGTGGACTCCACCACGCCCACCACGGCGCCACTCGAATCAAACACAGGACCTCCACTGGAACCTGGCAGACAGACACGAATGGATACATGGATGGATGTGTCTTCATTGATGGCGTGTCTGTCTGTACCTCTTGCGAAGTCTGCGGTCAGCGCCATGGCCACTGGGCCTCTGTGACCGCGACGGAAATACCGAGAAACACGACCTCTGCACACACACGGACATGCAGGCAGGCGGGCAGGGAGTGAGATACTCACACATCGGGTGGATTGGATGCGTCTGTCGATCTCATTCACTCACTCCCTCACTCGGTGAATGTGAAGAGGTTTCCGTCGGGGTGCGACATGACCCCAATCGCGGCCCCCTGTGGCGGCGGGGTGCCGATCTCCAAAGCGTTGACCCTCTCGCCCTTCTCCAGACCCACCCGGATGATGGCCAAATCAAAGGTCTTGTTCGCCGCACACACCTCCTCCACCACATAGACGCGCCCCTTATGGTCCATGACCACGACCGTCTCGCCAAGCGCCCCGTCGAGCACGTGGTGGTTGGTCACCACCAGGCCCGACGGATGGATGAAGAACCCAGTGGCCGTGTTGGTGTGCAGCCGATTGCACTTGCGGCAGTAGAAGGGGGACGACACCAGCAGAGTGGCCGACCGGACCTTCTCGACCACATCAGGCATGCAGGGCGCGTCGCCGGCACGGCTGCTGCTGTCGACGCTGGTAGTGCCCCACCATCCACCAGAGAGCCATCCCCACAATCCACCGCTGCCATTGCTGCTGCTGCTGCCGCTGCTGCTGCTGCTGCTGCTGGTGGTGCTGCTGGTGGTGCTGGTTGTGGCTGCGGATGGCCGCTCTCTCGGGTCCAAATGAACGTCACTGGTCCGGTCATGGTCAGGCGCCCCGGTGCTCTCGGCGGCGTGCACGTGCCGGTCGGCGGCTTTGTCACTTGGGGCGGGGGGCTGTGGTGTGGTGGGTGAGGGGGGAGGGGAAGCCTCAATGAGAGGCGGAAGAGTGCAGCGCTGACGCTGCTTCAACTGCGCTTGCAGGTGCTTCATCGGCACTGCACGTCTGGACCTGATGAATAATGAGATGAATGGCAGAAACCGCACCAGCCAGCCAGCAGTGGTGAGATCGACAAACAAAGACAGACACTGACGTGTGTGTTTGTTTGTCCCGGTTGCTCCCTCACCTGATGAGGTCCTCGGCGGTATGTGCGAGGGAGATGACCATCTCAGAGTCGTCCACCACGGGGATGGAGGCCGCCTCCAGGCCTCGCCGCGTCCTCCCCATCCGTCGGCCTTCGGCCACGACAAACCAACACACCAACACCGATACGGTTACCACTGAAAACAGCATGTTGTGCACGAGAGGGGAAGACGATTGAACCATTGCCCGAGATCTGCAGCGAGCTCTTGATGTTGAGCTTGCAACCCTCTTTTGGCTTTCCCGACGACGCCTCCAAGGGCTCCTTGTCGCGTGTTTGTACGAGTAGCTGCAGATACGCTGTGCACATTGTTCTCTCGCGGCGTCGGAGCGGCCTACGCAACCAAACACGAGTAGCGAGAGGCCTTGTAGCGCTCTTCCATGGATGCAGCCGAGAGGGAGAACCGCAGAAGCACATGATCCAGCGCAATGACAGGTAAGAGGCAGAGAAACGAGGCCGGCGATGCCGCAAGCAGCGCTGCGAATGTCTTACGTGTCGGGTGTGTGCTGGTGTGTGTGTGCAGATGGTGGAAGTATCACCCCAGTAGGAGTGTTTGAGATAGCTGCCGTGCCGTAGAACCGATGGCGGGCAACATAGATATGAGTGGGATGGAAGGGTGTCCGGCCGACGGCAGCCGGGAGGAGATCGCCACATGGCTGAAGCGCAAGAAGGTCGCGGAGCTCAAGACACTCATTGACAACAGGGGGCTGTCCAGGAAGGGAATCTCCCTCAAGGTCAGTCAGTCAATCATTCAGGGCAGGTGGCCAAATAGCCAGCCAGCCAGCCGGATGGATTGTGCTGTGTGTGTGTGTTGGTTGCGCCGGCTGTCAGGATGACTTGATCAACGTACTGGTCAACTACGTCAGACGGTGAGAGGCCCAACGCACACACACAGAGACGCTTCTCACACCAACACTTGCCTGGCGACTGTGTGGGCGTGTGCAGTGAGAACTTGCCGCGCATCCGACGCCATCCGAGACCAGCCGTGCTCCCTCCCCCCGTCCACACCCCTGCCCATAATCCCAATCCCAACCCCAACCCCTTCCCGGCTCATCAGTTGCCCAACGGCCCCGTACACCATCCCCACAACCTCCCGCTGCTCAACAACCACGGCCCGGCCGGCCCACTCATGGGATGGCTGCAACTGGCAAACCCACCCAACCCCAATCCGAATCCCTATGCCGCCGCTGCCGCTCCTGCTGGGGCTGCTTATGCCGCAGCAGCACCAGCACCAGCAGCAGCAGCGGACCATCCCGGTGGCCCACCCGTCCTGCGCAACAAGCGGCGCCTGCGAGGTGTCAGTGCTGGCGACGATGACGACCGCGTGATCGCTCCGAGGCGCAGGGTGGGAGGCGGAGGCGCGGCTGCCGCCGCCTCCGCTGCTGCTGCCCGGCCGGCCCCGGCGTGTCCG